AATGTTTCCAACCACTTGTGTAACCTTCTCTCACACGTCTCTCCCCGCCGGCCCGAAAATGTGTTTCAGGCTGATTTCCAGGGAACGCAGTGCCTGGTTTGGTGCTGCCCGTCCAGAGGCCGTTAAAGCTCCTTTGCAGGGGGAGAGCTGGGACACACACAGAGACACAGGCATGGCACAACTGGGGGCACTGGGGGCACTGGGAGCAGGTCCTGCACGCTCCACTGGTGCCCAGCTCCCGTTACCGGCATCACAGGACGTGGCCATCAAGGCTTGTCTCCTTCAAGAGCTGCTGTGTTTTGGCTTCTAAACTGCAGCTCAGAGAGGGGGATCACCCCCCCAGGGCAGCCTGTGTGGGAACAGAGCAAAGACCCTGCTCTGGGATAAACCTGCTGTGTGCCAGCGGATGGGGACAATTTCCAGGTCCTTTTTCCTTGTGTAAGGACATCTGTCCTTGGCTGCTCCTTTCTCTGCTGCTGGCACAGCCCCATGGCAGAGGTAAATAGTTCCTGTCCTGCTCTGCTGTTTTACCCCTGGAAATTAGAAAATTAATTAAATTTTCTCTGGATAGGTCTGCACATTCAGAGAATACCTGCTGGTCACTTGCTGCATGGTCCTTTCATACCTTAGCTGCGAGATTTCTGCTTTAAGGCAGTGTTACACCACCAAGGGCTGCACATATCCACACTGCCCAAAACAATTATGGGATGTACCTGTTCAGGCTTGAGAGCTTTTAACAGTGTGAGGTGGAAGAGAAGGAAAAAAAAAGCCGAGGGCTTGGCCTAATGTATGGACAAACCATGTGATGGGGACCAGGCATCCAGGGCTAACTTTTAATCTGCTTTGTTTCAAGTGGGAAATATGTGAAGATCAAATAAGTTCAAATCCAGGTCAAATATCCTTGAAAATCTTTGATTTATACAAGCAGGAAAATGAGGTTTAAAAGAAGTGATTATGAAAGGGTTACTAAAAACACAGCTGTACTCGTACTCTTATATCTGAGGCTCTCCAAAGAAAAACTGTGTGACATCTATATTAACCTTTGGCTGTACACCAATGAAGGCCTGTAGTGAGCTGGAATGCAAGGCAGCCCCTTCCAAATTTTAACACAAGCCAGGTTACAGCTGCAAATGCCTGCAGCCCGTGCTCACTTTATAAAGTATTCCCCGAAGGAAATTTTTTAACTGTTATAGAATCTTTTTCTAATACCCTACAGTGTTAAAGCCTGTTATTAAAGGGCAAAGAGATGGTTCTCTATGCCAAACACTTGTCAACAAAAAGGATAGCCAGATGGTATGAAATAAAAGGAAACTTGGGGGCTCTTCAGCTTCTTGATTTATATTAACAAAAGCCACTTTCAAGTGCTCCTTCCAAGAATGACTAATTCCCCCCCCACTTCTTTTTTGCCAGGATTAAACAACATTGTTCATTTTATAATCAACCACGAGACAAATTAACAAATTGCGTATCACTTGTGCCGACTCTTTTAAAAATATTCTAAGCAAGTCTGTTTACCAAGGCAAGTTTACCAGCATAAGGACAACGCAATTATTTTTAGAAGAGAAGGCCTAAGTCATCTAGAGGATGTTTACTCCTTAGCTGCTGTTTATAAACTGAAATTAAACTTGTGCAGAAAATGCTTTGCATTTTTTCAGTCCCTAAAATGGATCAGTTTGTAAACTGTATCGGACAGGATCTGAAATTAAATTACAAATGTTAAAATTATAGCAATAAATTTTACAAAATTAGCCAGTAATTAACTGGCTAACAGTCAGACCACTGTGGCTAAATTCTCTTTCAATTTACAAATAACTTAATTCTTGACACAACTCCATTCCTCATCCATCTTAGCACAGGTGTAAGCTAAGACAAAATGTAGCCTGTAAATTAGCTGGTTACAAATCTAAATCTAATTAGTTGTCAGGATTTTACAGTAAGTAAAACTGTGCTTAGTACAAAGCTCCCTAAAACGGAGCACCTGTATTCTGGTTCCTCCCTACCAATACCCAGAATAAATTTTCTGCACTAAATATACACAGTATCTCCATAGAAATCAATGTGTGTGGGGTTTGTTGTTGGGGTTTTTACTATGTAGCCCAGTAAATCTTGCAATGTAGTTTTTTTTAAAAAAATATTATTCCCTCTAAAGTTGTACAACTAGATGGATGAGGAATATGAATAAGGCAAAATAAGTGCTTTTGTAGATTAGCATTTGGAAGCCTGGAATTACCGTTTTTTATTGACTGAAATTTCAAAGTATTATTTCTTTGCTCGCTTTTACTTCCTCCGTGCTAAAATGAAACTTTATTATGCTGTGACACTTCCTCATTGTGATGGCTCTGCTATTGTAATAAAAGCCTACCTGTGAAATGCAATGCTCACAGAGTATCTCTTACAAAAGTAGGACACAGTTTACTACAGTCTGCATTTAGGAATTCAGCTCTGCTTTAAAAGGGATCATTGTAGAAAGTCTCCACAAAAATTCAGTTCTACAATAGATCTTCTAATTTTCCCTGAATGTCATAGAAAACTGTATGTCTCAAAGCAGGTGTTGTGTTTGATTATATGCGGAGTGAGTGGCTGCTCTAATTCATTAAAACCTCCATAAACAAGCCTGCCTTTGTCCTATAAAGATGAAAGAGCAATGACTATAATGGGATGAAAGGTGTGCACAGCGATGAAGAAAGCTCTTATAGATCTGTGTCCTTTTTAAACTCGTCCTGGCATGCTCTGTTGACAAGGGAACAAAACAGCACAGATAAACCTCCAAAATGTGCCTTGCTGGTCGTAATTCCACCTGTCCTTAAAACTGCTGGGCTTTGCTTGTGCTCTTAATGCTCCCCGACCATGCTGACAGCAATTAAATAAAATAATCATTTAGGATTTTGCATGGAGAACACTCTTGCATTTCTAAGCTGACAACAAACCCTGGTGGGTTGAAATGAATGAATAAATCCACTGCAGTCACCAAACTGCATCAGGATGTTGATTATCGGGGGTTATGGCTCATACAGGTGAAACCTGCTCCATACAAAGTTCTCACATAGACACAGACATATCCAAAATGTAACTTTTATTTCACATTTATGGGTTGATTTCATTCCTTTGTATTCAAACCCATCAATGGCCTAAATATTAACTTTTTCTTATAACTCTTACATGAGGTGACAAGAGACTCTTGCATCGGCAATGTGGGATGGGAGCGCTGCAGTTTCACTGGTGATTCAGTAAATTACTACACCTGAGGAGCAGAGCTAAACTCCCTGCTATTATGTACTTACATGTTTCATAAGGTTCTTTCCCCTGTACTGAAATGGAAAGCAAAGAGTGAATTTCGCTATTGTTATTTGAACATCTTTTGTCCTCTGCTCAGGGCTCTCCTTGCACTCGGTGTAGGACACAAGAACCACGGAGAACAGTGTTAGCAAGGTCACCCTTATCTTCAAAGTCAAATATTTGACTGCTATTGGTACTTTTGACTGCTCAAATATTTGATTTTAAATGTATCATTGCTCATCGGCTTAAGTATCCAGCAGTGACTAGACAAACACTGTAATTCCAAATGGAAAGCACCAGCCCTCATGGAGCACAGCCCCCGGGCCAGATGTAATTCCGAGTTTCCCACTGTGAAGCTTATGGCAGTTAATAAGGAGGCGCAGCTCATGCAAACTAAGCTCTCCCACAGCGTCCCATGGCTCCTTATCATGCAGGAATTGTGCCGGGATAGCTACCGTGTCTAATAATTATTAACGTGTGTCACAGAGCCTTTACAGCTGCTGAGCTTTTCAAGTTAGTTAAAGTGCTGGGATTAGAGAGGTGGTGGTTTAGGCGGTGATTTAATCTTTGCTGCCTCTGAAGCTCCAGACAGTGGAAGTGTCCAGAACAGTGACATCCATAAAGGTGTTAATGGATTTATTGGAGATGGGGGTCTGTAATTCCTGGCAGGTTATGTGCCAGAGGTGTGCTCCTCTTGCACTTTGCGTTTCCCTTTGTTTGGAACAAAGTCTGAGCTGATCTTGTTTTGGAAACACGATTCAGGTTCTGCCTTGAACTCGCAGGCACCCAATCTGTACGTGTGTGGTTTGAGAGCCGCACATGATGAGCTCTAAAAATGGAGAGAGCGAGCCAGGTCCATAATTATATATTTAAAATAGAATGCGCACCCTGACAATGTTTTACTCAAATCCGGCCAAGTCAGTCCACACGGGTGTGCAATCTACAGCGAGCAAATAGAAATCAGATTGGGCCGTGGCATCCAATTAGGGAGGCCTAGCGAGGCGCATACAAAGCGTGCCAACTCTCGTATCGTTTGCATAAACCCATCCACATGTGTTTGTGAAAAGAGGCGAGTTAGCGGCATAAACTGGGGTCAACAGGAAAAGCTGCAGGAGTAAATAAGGATTTACTGCGGAATCCCTCCCAAGCCATTAGGAAAACATGTGCGAGCGGCTCAGCCCCCGCGGCCGAGGGAGCGCGGGCTGGGATGCGGCAGGGAGCCGTCCCGGCCGTGCGTCCCCGCATCCCGCGGGAGCCGTGCGGGACCCGCGCCGTGCTCCGCCTGCCTTTCGTGTCCTCCTTGGCGGTGCGGGATGCGGGGCAGACCTGCTCATCGTCCTGTTTGACTCCTACCTGCAAATCCCATTTCTGACGCGCAGCCACTATCAAAGGGAGCGGACGACAAAGCCCTCAGTGTGCCGGCGTGTGTGGAGAGCTCGTGGCTGTCCAACGCTGCGAGGGGAAGTCAGAGCCCTTTCTTTCCCCGCCGATGCCACTCAGTTACCGCCTGGTAAAGCAGCCGCCCTGCCGAGGGCCGCTACCTGCCCTTCCTTGCCCAGGTGCGCTGTCACCCACCTGCCCCGCTGGGAAACAGCTCCCAGCCGGGGCCACCTGCGCCGCCAGCCCGTCCTCCCGCCGGTGGCCATGTCCCCGCTCCAGCCTCCCCCTGGCACGGTTCCCCGCCCGGTTGCCCCGGACCCAGCCCCGCCGAGCCCGGCACTCACCCAAGTTAACGAAGCTCATGACCATGTCAGCTTCGGTGAGGAAGTTGCTGTCCTGCAGGCTGGCCAGAGGCGGCCCCTGGGTGCTGAAGATGGGCTTGTAGGGGTAAGAGAAGCCCTCGCCGTCCTCGGCGGCGGCCCCCGCCGCCCCCTCCTCCACGGACATGGCATTGTAAAGGTCCAGCATGAACATGGGGGCCGAGTTGTGCTTGCCGTGGAGGTGCGGCCGCGGGCGGTGCGGCAGGCCGAGGATGGAGAGGATCTCCCGCTGCATCTCGCGGCGCTCGGGGCCGCGCAGCCGCCGGTGGATGAAGCTGGAGTGCACCTCGTTGTCCACCGTGAAGTCGGCGAGCACGCAGCGCAGCCAGAGGGCGGGCGCGGCGGCGCCCAGCACCAGCAGCCAGGAGGCGGGCTGCCCGCGCCCCGCCACCGGCATCCCGGCGCGGCGGCGGCGGCTGCGGGGCGGCGCGGGGGGCGCGGGGCTGCCCCGCCGCGGGACGCGCCCCGCCACCGGCATGCGCGGGGGGCGCGCACGGACGGACCGACGGACGGACGGACGGGCTCAGCCCCCGCGGAGGCGCCGCAGCCCGCTCATGGCCCGAGGCGGCGGCGGCGGCGGGGGCTGATCAGCGGCACCGGCCCATGGACGGGGCGGCAGCGGCGGCCCGAGGCGCTTCCCCCGGCGGTGGCGGTGGCGGCGGTGGCGGGAGCGGAGCGCGGTGCCCGCGTCCCGCACGCCGCGGCGGAGCCGTGTGAGCGGCGCGCTCGGCGGGGAGCGGCGGGAGGGTGGCTCTGGTGGGAGGAGCAGGCGGATAAACCCAAGCGCTCTCTCTCGCTCGCCCGCCCGCTCCAAAGCGCTCGGGAGAGAAAATCCCGGGAACTGCCTCGAGGAGGGAGGACGTCTGCTCAGGTTGCTTTTCAGGATGTTTGTGGAGGCTGCGGGCTCGGCGAGAGGCTGAGCCGGTCCCCAGCGCCTAAATTGCCGTGAACGTCATTAAGGAGAAGACAGCCCAGGAGAGAGGGCGGGTTATGTACACGGAAGGGGCCCAAACTCCCACAGACTTTATAGATGCGACTACATCGGCTGTCTGCACAAGCACGCGTACACACTTCTTTTTCCTGCCTACTCTTTTCTTTTTAAGGAGTTCAGATTAGAAGAGCCTGCCCGTGATAAAACAAACTCAATTAAATAATTTAAAGCGTGATGATTATATATTCACCTACATAGTCACGTATGTGTGTTTCTGTGCACAGAGCCCCGGGTCACTTTTTCCAGCTGGCAGTGGGGAGAGTTAATGGAGAAGCGTTAGAAATCCGAGGGGGGAGATATTCTCTAAGAATGGTAAAACCAGGAACATTTACTTGAAATGAAACTATCAACCTGTGCACATGGGTGGTTTATGCCATCCCATTACCCTGCCCCCTTGCCTTCCCATCCTTCTGCTACTGGTACATGCCATTTTTGGGATATTTTGCCTTGAAATAGATTGTCAGCTTCTTAAAGCAATGACTTTTTTAACTCAGTGAGTGCAACATCTACTGTAAGGGAGCTCCAGTCCAATTAGCCCAGGTAGATGTCTGCTACAACAGTCATTAATAATAATAATAATGATAATGATAATATCAGATGTCAAATGTAAACTAATGCTTCCCAAATCTTACTTGGAAAGAAGGGGAAGCCAGGATGGTGTATTTGGGTCACTGAACTAAGCCTGAGATAACCTCAGAAATCATGCATATATACATTAAGTTTATCCTGACATTAAGATTAATTCCTTGGGCAAAGGAGAAAGAAGAGGGGTGGAGAATAAAGCAGGTCAGTGGTTTTGGAGGTGTTTTTTGATAGATTGTTCTGCTAATATTTTCAGACGAGCAACATCTGGTAGTATCCAGCACCAGATCCTGCAACTCTTCTGGAAAATAATATTCAGCTCTTTTTTAAGTTCTTTATTTTTCAAACCTTGGTGTGAACAGCAGGTAGCCAGTCAAAAAACTGCATGGGAGCCATGATGAATGATATAATGTGTTTGTATGCATGCATGTGCACCTCTTAATAACAGGGAAACTGAGGCATCACATAGAAATGACTCACTCATGGCACTATTGAAATAGAGGTGGAACCAGCCTTAATCCCTCAGCTCAGACCTAACACATCTTTAGGAATGGCTCAAGCTCGGGGAGGATGGAGGGGGCAGAGAAGTTGTGGATCTCCATCCACCTCAGGTAACAAGAAACACTTGCTGCACCCACTGGTGCTGCTCGAATATCCCCCTGGATCTGCATTCCCAGTGCTCCCCATGGATGGAAACCCCAGCACCCAGCAGCTGAATTCTGGCTGCCCAGCTAAGATCAAACTCTCCAGCATCTTTTGTACTTCCTGAGGAGCAGCACTAACCTGCTCTTCACCACGCAATTTGCCTAAATTTCTTCCTGGCCGAGGGTGTGGCTTCTAGATCAATTTAAGCTGATTTAAAGCCAGGCTCCCCCTGAGAAAGATCTTTGTTTTCTCATCCCACCCCAGCCTGGACTTTCAGCTGTGCGACCCCACCCCTCTGCAATGCTGGTACCTACGCTTACGCACAGGTCAGAAAGCTGATTCGCTTTTTAAAATATATATTTTTTAACCATTTGTGTATTTTCTTTTGCTGAAATAATTTTCTGCTGGATCAGCTTCTTGTTCTGACTGACTCCCTGTTGTGGTGGAACGAGGGAGGCCACAGGAATGCACAGCTGGGGGCAAGGAGAGGGTGTCTGGGTCAGGCTGTGCAGGCAGGGCAGGCAGAGGATTTGGGATCTCCCTGCTCTCCCTTTCAGCTGCAGACAACTTGATTTCTCTGCCTTTTTTGTTCCTTGTAGACTGTTCATCCAGAGCTGTGAGTGTTGGCCTTTCATCAAGCAGCAGTAGGACAAGGAGCCGTGCCTTTGGCATGGATATGAGATGGAAAAGTCGGCAAGGATGGGACAGTGGGCTGGAGAGCAGGTGTCTCTGCTGCCTAAATTACTGGTACTGGAATTGCTTGTAGCTCCCACTTAAAAACTGACTAAACTTCAGGTCAGTGTTGTGCTCTGAAAGAAAGAAAAGGAAAAGTGTGGGAGGTTTCTCTGCTCACTCGTTAACACCTTAGGTAACTGCTCTTGGTGTTGTAGGTGTCACTGGAGAAAGAACAGAGAACAAAACTAAACCTTGAAACTCTTGATTTGACAAATTTCCTGAAAAAGTGATGTTTCAAACTATTTCCTTCTTGTTTTGTCTAAGTGGTTTGGGTTAGGCCACATTTAGCTATATTCTGATTTAATGCAGGATATGCTCTTAAAGGAGGGACAATGTTGCAACTGTAACCTGTGTTTTCATAGGAACAGTTGGGAAGTTTTCTCTTTTATACAGTATTTTCTATGATCCTGCTGCACCTGTATTCCTTTTAATAAATGCATGATAGTTGGCAATGGGGTACTTAAAACAGCACAACAAAACCATGCCAGCGGCATGGGATGAGAAAGTGAGTTTGTTAAAGAATAACTTTTTGATGTGAAGTCCCCAGCTCTTGCCTTCATCCTGCTTTGGGACACAACAAAGGGCAGCATTTATTCTGCTGGGTACAATAAGGGATGATGCAGCTCCAACTGCAGTGCTTCAGCCCTCAGATCTGAGCTTGAATTTCAAATTCCTTTCCAACAGAAAGGCAATCCAGTTTGTACCTTTCTTCATGGGCAACCTCTTTCTCTTCCCTCCTTTCCCGTCTGCGTCTGCTGTGTAAACCCTATCCTGCTTCCTGTAGGATCAGTTCCACACAGCTTGCTGAAATATTGGCACCTTCATGTCACTGTCTTTTTCCTCCTCCTTCCTGGATCAATTAAGAAACCAGTTTTTCCTCTTAGTCTTCTCTACTTCTTTTGTGTAGCCTCCTCTTCTTGAGAAGGAAAACTTGATGCTTGTGATGAAGTAATCCCTGTTTGTTGGCACTTGCTGCTTCAGATAATTTCTATAAAAACAGACTCCCAATGTTTCTGGGGTTCTGCACAAGCCACATTACCAATTGAGTAACTTTTTGATCTCTGTGTGCTTTGTGTGCATGCTCTTACCCAAGTTTAGTACCAACTGCTGCCATTTTTTTGTTTGTGTGGAAACAGACGGAATATTTGGAAGTGTGTATTTAGGAGCTAAATAAAGGGGCTGATTTAAAAACAAGAAATTCACAAAAATGTGCAGGTTTGTGCTTGGTGAATTTGTCATCCTCATGTACCCATGTGAGGCGTATGCCAGGGGCAGAATTTGGACATTTGCATTCAGTTTTACCAAACAGGCAGTAAAAAGTGTGGGTTCTGCTCAGAAACTCATTTAATGACTTTTCAAAAATTAGACACAAAGCATTTTGTCCTCTTTTCTGCTGATTCAGTTTCAAGTTCCTTGTCTTCCTACTTTGATGTCCTCTTTTTAACTTTAACCATGGTTCTTTTCCATTCTGTTTTGCATCTTCTCTCATTTGTCTTGAACAAAGTGCAACTCCTAAATTATAGCAAACTTTTTTCTCCTTCCAAATAATCCCACTAAACTAGCATATGTTTGGGGAATTTTGAACTGCTTGTCTATGCTCTTTGCATGAAAAACATTAGTACAGCAAAAATAATAGCATAATTATTTGTATAAGAATGGATAATTAGCTCACGTATTTTTTTACGCTATATTGGATCATTCTTATCAAAAGATTCTAGTCATCATTCCAGAATTATTACTGAGAACATATTCACCAACATGAATTATGGATAAAGCCATTATATTAGCTCTAATCCAGGAATTTGAGCAGATTTGGGTTGAGCAGTGCTCTGTTGGACAATACTGATCACGTTATAAAAATTAAATTTTGATTCTCAATGCTACCGATCAGAGGAGAGTCAGAAATGAAATCTGTGTTTTGGGCTGTGAAAAAGGCATTGTTACTTCTGAAGATGCCAGTGAAAGCTAAAATGGAATTTGGGGATTTATGAAATGGGGGTATGGCACTGAATTTAATGTTCATCAGCTGGGGAAAGTGGACAGAGTTCAGTCCTTCACAGTTCAGCACTTCATTTCCTAAAACTGGATCACCACAGGGATCCTTTTATTGCTATTTACTTCAGAGAACATTAGAACTGAGCTCATGTTACTGAAACTTTTGTAATGTTACATTTATTATACATTTATCTACAATTTGAATATCGGCATGGGCTGTATTTTCTATATATGCTTATATTCTGGTAAGAGCAGGCATAAATACACCAGTGTACTTCAATCATCTCTTTAAACTTTATGTAACTAATCCATTTCTGCAGCACAGATATAGGCATTTAATGTAGACTCCAATATTGCCAAAGCAGCTCAAAGAAAACTGAATTTAATTTTGAACTATTAAATTATTGTGTGCACACTTGATTCGGTTGACGCTTTTGGCCCAAGCCCAGGTATTTCCTTTGTTGGTAACGTTGTAATCTGAACGTCTGAGATCTCAGGCTTGTATTTGTGAAAAGCTAAGCTGGGCACGA